AAAGATAAAGGATGTTCGATTATTTACAAATATCGAGACCAGATCTTAAAAATATAACAACCTTTTCTCGATATATTTAAATAAACGAACATTTCTTTTTCTCTCATTTCCAAATTTTAGGTGACGAATCAATTTTTTTGGTTTCACTTTCGGGATACACTTTTAATTTAAAATCATTAAAAGCGGACCTCAAATCAGTTATGACTGCCCACTTCAACAATTTTAAATTAAAAGGGTATTACCCTTAATCCAATTATGTGATATATGTCAAGTTATGCAAATGAGATTATCATGCATATTATGCAAAATAATGTCATGCAAAAACTAATTAAAATATGCCATGCACTCAAACAAATTTCTAAAAAAAAATAAAAAAAATAAAAAATATATGTATTTACGACATTAACATACATTAGAATAAAACCATATATACAATAAAACATACTATTAATAACTCGACTTCACATTCAAAATTACCATGAAGGACCATAATAAAATAAAATTAAACTAAGCATGCAAAGTAGGAATTAACTATTAAATTAAAAAACATGCTAAGTGACTAAATTGTCAAACAACCAAAATTACAAATTACATTTCAAAAATAAAACATAAAAACATTTCAGGACTAAAATAGAAGAACATGAAACAACAGGCCAAAAATATCAACAACACAAAATATGACTTAACTAAGAGATAGATTAAAATAAATATTCTAAAATTTAAGAGCCGAATACATAAAGTTATCAAAACTTAAAATAACATGGCTCGTACTAAAATGTAACAAACATAAAGGATAAAAGCCAAATTCGAAATGTACACAACACCAAAGCAAGGACTAAAACGAAACATATGAGAACTGCAGGGGATGTCTGCGCGATTAACCCTCTCCTAGACGCAAGTTCTAAACGGTGCCGTTTAGTTTTAACCTAATTTTCATTCTAAATTCAGCCTCACTTTAATAAACTCTCCCCTCCCTTGCCGTTCTCTCAAAGCTCCTTTCATTCTTTCTCAAAGCAACCAAACGAGGCCATGGCCACCATGGCCACCGCCCAAGGCTCCGATAACGACACACACAACCTCGAGTCCACCCCATAAATTACCTTGAATCCTTAAGCTTCAAATCTCTCACAGCAAGAAACCATAACCCAAAGGTCAAAACAACCCCCAACCTTCACTGCTGAACTCTCGACCACCGCGGACTCACCCTCTAAAGCTCCGTTGAGGAACCAAGACCTCACGACCTCGCTCTACCCCTTTGTTACCGAACCGAAGCCTCACAAACCCAAACTCCACCAAGACTCCCTAAATCCCTAAAACACACAGATCAAAGGCCAAAAAAAGAATACTTTGAGCGATTCTAGGCGGTTTCGACTTCGGGTGGCCAGAGCTAACTCCTAATGACGGGAAAGGTAAGGATTGTCTTTTTTCTTGTTTTATGGTTTCTGGTTAATAATGGTCAACTCTCGGGTTCTCTCATTACTACTGATGGATAATTTTTGATTATTGGTGATTTTTTTCGTCTCAAAAGAAACCCACTCTTAACCAAGGACCTTGGCAGTAAACCATTCTGACGACCACCCTCAACAGTGACTCTATATTTCTCCGGCAATGGACTCAAATAACCAAGGTAATGAAATTACTCTAACTCCTAAATTTCTTTTATTTATTCCTTTACGCATAAAAGAAAATGAAGAAATTTTGGAAACTTTTCATGCTCGGACTATTTCACATGGATTCTGTTTTTTTTAGGGTATTACTTAATCCTTGCTAAATTTCCTTTGATTGTAAAATAACATGCACACACATAGAAAGAAAAATATATATAAACAGTAAATAATACTCAAGAAGAATACCTCGGAATTCCTCGTATTTTATTGCTTTCACTGGTTTTTGCAATAGTATTCAATTGCCTCTGGAATTTTTCCTCTTGTATTTGTTTAAAAAAAATGTAATACGAAGAAAGAATTGTTTTTTTACTCTCTGATCCCTAGATGGTCTCCTTTTTTCCTGTTGATGAATGGTTATATCTAAAAAAAACTGACCATCCCCCATTTACAGTTTTTTTTGATAACTCACAATACCCCCCACTCTCTACAAATTGTTCCCTCTAATTTTTCTGGTTTCTTAACTACCCAGACAAATTAAGCATCTACAATTATTGTTCAGGAAACATGTAAACCAAGGAACTCAATATGTAAACATTTAATTTATGTTGAAGTGGCTACCTGGCGCCGGAGTACGCAATGTGTGGGCATCTGACTGAGAAAGCTGATGTGTTTGGCTTTGGTATTGTTGCTTTGGAGATTCTTAGCGGTAGAACAAACTTTGATAATCGCTTGGAGGATGATAAAATCTATCTTCTTGGATGGGTAAGTATTAGGCAATCTTTTTTCCATTCAAAAGAATATATTAATTCATAATGAATAGGTTACATTCTCTATGATGTTCCCAGGCTTGGGCTCTACATGAAAATAACCAAAGCTTGGATCTGGTTGATCCACACTTAGCCGAGTTCGATATAAATGAAGCTCTCCAAGTGGTCAGGGTGGCACTTCTGTGCACTCAGGGATCACCATTGATGCGGCCACCCATGTCCCGTGTAGTGACTATGCTTGTCGGAGATATTGAAGTGAGCAATGTTATAACAAGACCGAGTTATCTTATTGACTGGAATTTTAACAGTTTAACAGGCAGAGTTGTGACTGGAGATGCATCGGGCCCAGGGGCAGCACCAATATTATCTGCAGTAAATGTCAGTGAAATCAACCTTACTGAAGGAAGGTGACAGGCTTATGTTGTTGCATGTCTCGTTCAGACAACTTTTCTCTGTTTGCAGGTGAAAGAAAATCACTAGGGATGGCAAACGTGCGGGTCGGGTGCGGATACCCCCTCCCCATCCTCATACCCACATAATATTTTTCAATCTACCACCTGCCCACCAGGGTACAAATTTTCAAATCCACACCCGCCCACGCGGGTACATTTTCAAATCCATCCCCATACCCACTACCAACTAGCGACATACCCATCTAGACCCGCCTGACAGCAAACTAATGGGATGATGGAGTTGGTTCCCAGACAGTTCGTGATGGGGTAGCAGCTCATGCTTCAATTTGTCAGAGGAGTGACTCTACGAATGTTATGGAGACAGATTGTAGGGAGCATGTAGTCGCAGAGCTGGATTGTTGAATTGCTTTCGATGTTAATGCTCATAGTGCGCCTAATATGGGTTTTGAGGGGCTAAAGAACATGAAAACTGCTGTTTTTGATGTTAATGCTTATAGTACGGCTAATTTGTGTTTGTATGGGCAGCATGGGCCAAAGAACATGGAAAGTGACGTGGTTAGTGGGATTATGAGTTTAATTAAATAGCCGAATATTTCCCTAATTAAAGACCAGATTAAAGACTAAATATCCTTAATATTTGGTTAAATTATATGTTATATATTATACAATATTAAAATTTATAAATTAGTCTCTAAAATTACACCTAAATTCATTATGGTCCAAAATTTAATAGATATTTAGTTGGGTGGGCGGATGCGGGGCGGGTAATGTCTCAAACCCATTACCTGCCCACCACCCACGACGGATACCACTTTATAAATCCACACCCGCCCACTACCCACTAAAATTATATCCATCCCCGCTCCAATTGGAGTGGATGCGGTACGGAATCCACGAAACTGTACCCGTTTGCCATCCCTAAAAATCACTAACATATAATGGAAAATTTATTTTAGATGCAGTTCTATATATAAGTGAAATTTGTGTATGCGGTATGCCTCTATTAGGAACTGTATTATTAGCAACATTATTGGAAGAAGAAACCATTGTAGTTAGTTCTTTGAATGATATTGTTTTTGAAGTAGAATTTTCAACAACGTTCAGTGAAAAATCATCATGATCAAGACTGAAGAAAACCGACCCCAGATTCCCCCCCCCCCCTTTTTGGCGTAGAGCCTGCATTAATTAAGTTGCATGTTGGCGAAGTCCAGGGTCAGCCGCCAAAATATAAAACAAGCTTCCAAATAAGAGTATTTAAGGAATATTAACTTAACAGAAATGGAGGAAAAAGGGTCTGGATGCATGATTGTGCAAGACTCAAAACCGTGAACGGCAGGATTCGATCGCAGAGGGCAGAGCCCACATGATTTCTAGTCATGCCCGATAACCACTCCGGCACGTCCACTGCTTTGTTAGAGAAATTTACATTTTATATTGTTCTTATAGTCATCTCTTTGTCAGTAACTTTCTTCTGCGTATTACTTTATGCTGGGTATGGTTGTTCACTTCACATGAACTGGTTCACATTTTTCTATCACGACAAAAGTAATAATTAGTATAAACTCAAAGGTGAAAAGGAAAAAAGAAAAACACAATCATAAAATTGCTAATCCGATGCCTAGAAGAATACCCTGCAAAAAATGCAAGCAACTTCAGCTTCCTCTCTCGTTTAGGAGGTTTGGTAGAGGTGATAGCATTTCCATGGTACTCTGCTAATTGAAGCATCTGCAAGGTTAGCCGCCAAAAAAGAAACTACTGTTTTGAGAAATTTGCAGAAGCAAACCCCATCTAGTTTTCCAATTTGTTGGTTTTTCTAAAGTATTAATTGTTTGATGTGATTTCATGGCCCCTGGCATCATCCCCCCTGGGTTCGCCTTTGTTCATGAGCAGGCTTGTAACGTAGACTTGAGGTGGACTTTGATTATTCCTACTTGTAGATGATTGACTAGAATTTTTATATTAGAGGTGAATTTTTAAAATTTTATTGAAAAAAATTATAAAATTTAATAGAAGAAAACATTTTTTTAATAAAAATATATTAAAAAATATATTTAAAATATATGATAATTTAAAAGGAGAAAATTTTCCCACAGATAGTCATTCAGTTCACACTAGGCGCTGTGCATTAAAAGGAAAAATGATAAACTTGAGGTTCTGTAAAGGCTCCAAACAATTCCCATCGAAGAAGAAAAAGAAGCAATTTGGTTGCAGAGATGCTTTCAAAGCTCACGAAGCCATTACTGTCTTCTTCGAAATGTTTTCTCTTCTTCTTCATCGTTGTTTTGTTTTGGTGCAGCCAATCCATTAAAGCACAGAATGCTGCCACGGATCCTTCCGAGGGTACTCCCTATCTCCCTCTTTCTCTCTATACATCTTAAGATGAATCCTTGTTTTAATGAAACAGTGAAGGCATTGAACTCAATCTTCCGACAATGGGATACACAAGCTGGGAATACATGGAATCACAGTGGAGAGCCATGCAATGGAGTTGCTCTCAACCAAAATGACTCAGTGTTTGAGGATCCTTCCAATAACCCTACTATTAGACGTGATTGTTCTTTCAACACCAACACTCTTTGCCACATTACTCGACTGTATGCTTTTTCTCTCTCATTCTTCTCCAATATTTTTAATCCATTATTATACCATTAAGGGTGAGTATTCGATCTACTCGAGTTAAAAAATTTATTTAACGATTTATATTTTATAACTCAAACTTTATTTGAATTTTTCTAAATCGAATTGAGTTTCTATTTAAATTTAATTGTAATATTCATTATGTTACAATACTAATTGATTTCAATTTAAACGAATTTTTATAACCATATACGATATACATATATATTTCGTTATTAATGCTACTTAATACATCATTTGAAGTCGTAATGTTTTAAACAATTGTTGTTGCAGGAAGGTAGTTGATCTAAATAGACGAGGAGAGATACCAAAGGAGCTTTTGGATTTGACATTTCTGAATTACTTGTAAGAATTTTTCTTTTTTCCCCCTGTTTTATCTTCACCTTTGATTTTGAATATTTTGCAAATGAATACAAATATTTTAATGTTTATGGTAAATGGAAAGTAACTGATGATGTCTTTTGAGATGCAGAAAAATTGATCAAAACTTCTTCTCTGGTCATTTGCCAGCATTCGTTGGAAATATGTTGAGACTAGAGTTTCTGTGAGTCCCAACAATTACTAATCATATATACATAAATACTTCTATTTATTCACTAATTATATCATTAATATTAGTTGAGTCCCAACAGTTGGCCTAATGGCCATGGGTTAATGTGTTTATGCTTTAGTTTTGATCTGCAAATCTTTGGATTATATATTTGTATAGGTCCATTGCATTCAACGATTTCTCAGGAAGCATTCCAAAGGAGCTTGGAAATCTTAAGGAGCTACGTATGCTGTAAGAATTGGAAAATAAATGACTCTTTCAACCTTTTTTGTCACCATGATCATAAAAAGGATCCAACTTTTCTTTAGTAATGCATTTTATGAAAATTATTTTTCAAAATCTGTTTTCAGTTAAAAAAATAACCTTTAGTTTCAATAGTAAATTTTTAGTTTTACCTTATCACTTGGTGTTTTATGAAATAAAATTGGGTTTTTCAAAATTTCTTCAAAGATCAATGTCATGCAGGTCTTTGGGTAATAATAATTTCTCTGGAACACTGCCTCCAGAACTTGGTAATTTAACCAAACTTGAAGATCTGTAAGTTCTAACTCTCTTTAGTTGATTGTGCTTACAAGTTTACCTTTATATCATAACACAACATTTGGTTCATGAATTTGGCAGATACATCAATAGGTGCAAACTGGGTGGTGACATTCCCTCAACATTTGCTAATCTTATCGAACTGCGAACTGTGTAAGAAATACCTTTCTTTATGCTTATTGCCTTCTCTCTTTTAGTCCTGTCAGGATGAACCGAGGGGCTGACGGGCAGTTATCTTCTGAAAATTTCAAATTCTCATATAATTTAAGTTTCTTTCTTTATATTTTCTATTGATAATCTATTTTTGTCCTTTAAAATTTTATACGTCCGTCCCTAGGTCATGCCAATTGCCTTAATAACAGTAGGCCCTCTTGAATTTCAGGTGGATATCTAAAAATGGTTTCTCAGGCAAAATACCAGACTTTATTGGCAATAACTGGACAAAGCTTATAGAATTGTAATCCATCAAAACACATTGGTTATGATCTTCATACAAGTTCTCTCGGATTCAGGCATCAAGAAGGATAGATTTGGCTGGATTTTTCATCAGTTTTGATTAGTCTGTCGAATGTTTATACAGGAATCTCCAAGGGAACTCTTTTGAAGGACCAATACCATCCAGTTTTGCGAACTTAACCTCACTGGCTACTCTGTAAGTAGAGATATCTTGTTTTTCTGCAAATTCATATGTGATACACGTATGTAAATATGTAGTTGTTTTTTGTGGTTGTATATCTTGTAGGAAAATTGACGGTATATACAACGGGAGTTCTCTTGGTTTCTTAAGAAATCTAAAGAACCTGCATGACTTGTGAGTTGCACATAATCTATACCTCCTGTATTCATCTGTTTTTTTTAATCTAAATTTATGGATTGGCAGATTTATTTTTCCATTCTTTTTATCTTCCTATAGGGATTTGAGTTTCAACAACTTAACATGCACAATTCCAAGTGAAATGTTTACGATGGATTCTGTCAAATACTTGTAAGCTACCGAAAAGAAAACCATTCCCTTCGATAGTTGAAAATCTCAGAGCTTAAGTCAGTTTCATCTTTAGAATTCTGGGTTTGGGCTCATGTCTCTCTTGCTATTGAATTGGCTAGGTTTCTTGGAAATAATAGTCTCGCAGGTGCCATTCCCAACCAACCAACTACTCTTCATACCATGTAAGTCATTCTTTCAACCTACAATATTTTGCTGCCTCCAAAAATTTGTGCTCCAATCATCAAGCAGCAACATCTTCCATACTCGCTTTCTGCTAATATACTTCTCTGTGCAGAGATTTATCATACAATTTACTGTCAGGAGACTTGCCTTATTGGGCAGACAAGATCCCACAACTGTATGTAAATCACGGTTCCATCTTAACTTTGCTTTCTAACTTAAGTCAATTCGAAGCTTATGCCATTTTTTGTTGCTCAAATTGAGCTTACAACATGTGCTTTGTTAGTTAAACTGTTGATGGTTAGTTAGCAATCGGCTAGAAATCAATGTGTATGCATACGTGTATCTTGCAAGTTAATTGATACAAATAAGACATTGTTTCATGGAATTTTATGTAGGAACTTGGTCGGCAACAACTTCACACTTAATAACTCAAACATAAGGTGAGTTCTTGTCCCACAGCCTCCTGATTTTTTGCTCTCCTGTTCATTTTTCCATATTAGTTATAACTGTATAACCTTCTCAGTGGAATTCTTGTACGTCTAGGAAACCATACATGCTTTTGAAGTTCCTAATCCATAAATTGCTTTGAAATTTCTCAGGCTTTTACCAGGATCAGAATGTCTTAAAAGACGGTTACCATGCAATAGAAATGCTCCACGATGTACTAGATAAAACTTTGGATTTAATCATGACTGATTCTTAATACTTTGCTAACATATTTCAATGTTGGTATTGCAAGATGCAAAGTTCTCAATCAAGTGTGGTGGCCAACAGACGATTTCTGATGGGATATTATTCGAAGCTGATAACAAATTTCTTGGCGCAGCAACATATGATGTAACTAGCACACGGAAATGGGAAGTTAGCAATATAGGCGAGTTTGCAGAACAACAAAATCAGAATCAGACTTCAAGACTATTCCCTGGATCACTCAGATACTATGGCCTAGGCCTTGACAATGGAGACTATACTGTAAACTTGTCTTTTGCAGAAATAGGATTCCCAAATGAAGCTTCTAAATCCCGGAGTGGAGCAAGGCGTGTTTTTGATGTTTATATTCAGGTAATATGTCAGAAAAGTATTCGAACATGTTCTGACCGTTTTCATTTTTATTTTTTCTCATATGCCAGTGAGTCAAACACCGGTTCGAGGAAGGTTCGGGCATGTCTGTGCTTCATATTATGATAGATATCATACAATTTATTCTCCTTGTTCCGGTGTTTCTATGATCACAATTATTCATTTAATCCTACATTAGAAATTTCGTTGCTATAGTATCTCATAAACACTTCATCAGGGAACCCGGCGATTGAGGGGTTTCGATATATCTAAGGAGGAAGGTACTGTTGAGAAAGCAATAACTAAGAGCTTCACAGCTAAAGTAACAGGGAACCATCTTGAAATTCAGGTACTTTGGGCTGGTAACGGGACTTCTACCTTTCAAGAAGAGGGTATTTACGGTCCATCCGTTTCAGCTATTAGTGTTGTTCCAAGTAAGATAACACTCACAAAACTTTATGCGAAATATGGTTCGTGTGCTTATTTTCTGTTTTCTGTTTCCAATACATCTATTTTCTCTCAGACGCATGGACTGTAGGTAAGATACCGCCTAAAGAGAAGAAATGGACAACATTGATTGCTGTTATTACAGTTTCTGTTGTGGTATTGGCTTTGATACTTATATGTACTATTATTTACATGAGGAGCAAAAGAGATGATGAGGTGAAGGAAGGTGAGCATCAGTTTTGTGTTAATATATATTATATAATCGCATCAGTAATCGTATATCGGAAAAAGGTGCAGCTTCTGATCTCTGTTTAGTATCAATGGAGTTTTCAAAGTTCAAGAGTTCTCAAAGTAAAATCTAGTCATTTGCATTTCATTGCTCCAACTTACAGCCTACTAATTGCCTTACTTGACTCTGCAGCGCCTCTTGATATTGGCACCAGACCGAGCACATTTAGTTATTCCAAGTTAAAAGCCGCCACCGAAGACTTCAATCCTTCAAACAAATTAGGAGAAGGGGGTTTTGGAGCTGTCTACAGGGTATAATTTGTTCTACAGTTTTTGGGGTGCAAAAATTATAATGATTGCCTGAACTTTACTAAGTTGGATTACCTTATAGGGTACATTTTCAGATGGGAGGGTGATAGCTGTGAAACAACTTGCAATCTCATCTAAGCAAGGAAAGAGTCAATTTACTGCTGAGATATCTACCATATCAGCAGTGCAGCATCGCAATCTTGTCAAGCTACATGGATACTGCATCAAAGGGAAACGGCATCTTCTCGTTTACGAGTATCTCGAAAACAAAAGCCTCGATCAAACACTATTTGGTACAATCACATTGTAATAACGCTTTCATGCATAAAACTTAGGAAGAATGGACTTGAATCACATGATTAACAAGGAAAATGTGATGAAGAGCAGTTGAATTTTTTCCATTGTTGATTACTCATTACTGAACAAATTGATAAGGTTTTGATGCTATATGCAGGACTCAGCGACTTGCATCTTGATTGGCCAACACGCTTCAACATCTGCTTAGAAACTTCAAGAGGATTAGCTTATCTTCATGAGGAGTCTAGGCCGAGGATTGTACACAGAGATATTAAGGCAAGTAATATTCTACTTGATGCAGAATTGTGCCCCAAAATATCGGATTTCGGATTAGCAAAGCTATATGATGACACAAAAACGCACGTCAGCACTCGGGTTGCTGGAACTATGTAAGCCTCTTTAGATTTTAATTCATAAATAGTTCATGAAACGTGATTTAATTTATGTTGAACACTCTTTAAATGTGATTTAATTTATGTTGAAGTGGCTACTTGGCACCGGAGTACGCATTGCGTGGGCATCTCACTGAGAAAGCTGATGTTTTTAGCTTTGGTATTGTTGCCTTGGAGATTCTCAGTGGTAGACCCAACTCTGATAACAGCTTAGAGGATCATAAAATATATCTTCTTGAATGGGTAAGTATTAGGCAATCCTTTTTTTCATTGCCTTGAAAAGAATATTAAATTCATCTTCATTCTATACAATGTTTCCAGGCATGGACTCTACATGAAAAGAATCGAAGTCTAGATCTAGTTGATCCAAATTTAGCAGAGTTCGATGAAAATGAAGCTCTCCGAGTGGTCATGGTGGCACTTTTGTGCACTCAGGGATCACCGTCGATGCGGCCACCCATGTCCCGTGTAGTGTCTATGCTTGCTGGAGATATTGAAGTGAGCGGTGTTATAACTAGACCAAGTTATCTTACTGACTGGAGTTTTAAAGATTTAACAGGCGAGAATGAGATTGTCTCCGAATATGCCGTGGGCCAAGAGGAAACACCGATTCTATTTCCAGTAAATGTCAATGATTTCAGTGACATTACTGCTGGAAGGTGAGAGGTTATGTCCTTCCATATGTCTTCTGTACTTGAAAGAAGATCACTGTCATACAAACACGATAAGAACATTTGGAAAAATAGGACAATGGTTCACGGAAGAGAGGCTAGAACATTGGCTGATCCAGAACTCGGCAACAATACTCGGCCATAAAGACAATGGTTGCAAATTGCAGTCGCTGTTATGATCATTCATCATTATCGTCATTCTCAATCCAATGTTTTAGAAGCAATAAGATGGCGTTAACTTTATTTGACATAAAAATAAAAGAAACGTGAACGGCAGGATTCGAACCTGCGCGGGCAGAGCCCACATGATTTCTAGTCATGCCCGATAACCACTCCGGCACGTCCACTTTTTGACTGCTAAATTCTTATTTTATTATATTATTTTAGTTTTTGTCAACCTCAATATTATATATTTTTATTCAGCTTCCGGCCTAAAATCCGAATCAATTTTTAAGATAATATTTACATGTAACTGAATTCGACATAAATATAAGTATGTTTCTTATTTTTGTCAAATAAAATAGAGTTGAAAAAAAATAAAGAAAATATTATTGTAATTATTTTTAAATATATGAGATAAATATAATATTATCTTATATCAAATCGATAATTTTTTATTATAAATCCAATCTGATGGGACCGTATTTTTTAAAAAAATCTCACTTGACATGCAACTGAATTTTCAACAACAAAATAAAAAATCAATTATATAAAATCATGTCGAGTCAGAATCCATAGGATAAAAAGGGAAAACTAGCCGTTGCAGGCTTGAACGTTGAGCTGAAGACCGTTGGCACTTAAAAAGGCATCTACCATGTAGCTCTGACCCTCCACTCCACCCTGGACAGAACTAGAAACCTCTCCATTAGTTAAGAATCCGAAACCGTCTTTATAAATATTGTCCCTCCGAATACTCTCTTTCAGACAAAGCAAACAAGAATTTTTACACACACAGAAAATTTGGTAAGAGCTGAAGCTAATATGGGTATGGTTATAGTCATCTCTCTGCCACTAATTTTCTTCTGCATATTACTTGGTGTTGGATGTTTCTTCTTTGGAAGAGCTAAAGGCCGACAAGATTTCCGCACCAATCCTCGGGTTTACGGCGTCCCAGCTCCGCCATCGGGAGCAGCAACCACCTCTTTCCCATCTCCTCCACACGCCAAGGCGCCTGACAATTTATCCAATGTCTGATATTGTCATCACTCATCTCAGATTTGAATTTGCACCCAAGGCCCAAGATTGGATTTCATATCTGGTTTCTTTAGAAAATTGTTTCTTCGTTTTGTTTTATCGATTGTGTGTGTATATATATATATATGCGTGTGAGATTTTTTAAAGACATGTTGTATTGGTTGTTGTACATTGGTTATCAATAAGATTTATAGAAGCTATAAATCTATACCTTTTGATCTAAATTTTCTTTGTTTTCCCTGGTTGCTTGCAAATACGTTAGCAAAAACTTTTAGGATAAACTAGCTATTGATTACTTGCCTATTATTTATCTTCTGTTTTAGTCATAAATTATTATTTTGGAGATTATTTTTCCAAAATTACATATAATATTGTGTTTTACTTATCCTAAAGAGAAATTAATAATTTTTTAACGATTGATGTGCAAAAATAGAACCAAAACATAACGTTAGGTATAATTTAAGAAAATAATAGTCAAGTGACCAAAGTAAAAATTAAGTAGCAAGTGGGTGACCAAATAGGTAGTTTACCCAAGCTTTATTAAACGAATCAAAAGATATTACAGAAAGATGGGAAATTCTTGTTCCAACTCTAAATAAGAACAATGAGAGAGAATTACATGTATGCGTATTCTGTAAAAAACTCCAAACCAGAGTAAACTGTATGTAAAAAAAATCTAAAATTACATGCCTTAATTACAATTCAGGCCGTTAGTTTGATTATTTGCAGCTTGCAGACTCTTCCTTGCACCAGCAGATCCTTATCATCATCGCGATGTAAGCCTAGTTTAAGATTGTGTCGAGATCTATACACGATAAACCATTCTGACTTCGATCAGAGAGGTGTGTGGAATCCCGAGGTCAGTTTCTTTCTCTAATTTATTAAATTTTAATTCTTCGCCTTTTTTTTTCTTCTGTTCATTATATTTAGAGAAAACTAGAGAACAAAGAATAAAAGCAAATAGTTTTTTTATTCATTCGAGAGTGGGAAGTGTTTTGGATATAATTTTCGATGAAATTAGAGCTCCAAACGTTCGATATCCAAATTTAGGAATTCTGGGAATCGCAATCCTTGAATTTGGTTCTCTTTCGAGTGGGTTCTTCGTGACCTAGGTTTTTCGGTGCGTTTTTTTCTTTCTTTTCTCGTTCCTTTCGTTAGCTTTGCTGCAATTGTTAACTGATAAATGTTACGTTTTTAAGTAAAATTGTAGATCAGTTATAGATTTTCCCTATAGTTTGCTTTTAAAAATCCCATCTTTCATGTGGTTTGTTCGATTTTCTCTCTATTTTGTATATTCTATGATTTTTTCCCCTTTTTTTATAGGAATTCAACATGCTACTTTTAATGGAACTATTATTTCCAAAATACGACCATGTGATTTTCCGACCCGATGGATATACATATAGGTATAAAATGGTCATTATTTAAATGTCAAAATATTTTTCGCTTTCAATCTATAGTTCCATGTAATGATAATGAGATTTTTCCCGTGTTCTTTGTGGTGGGCAATACTTAATATTAGGTTTCTTTTGTGGTGTATGCCTTTCTAATTAACTTCATTGTACTATTAAAATGTTGAAGATCCTCATCTTGGAATATGATTGAGAATGTTGGGATTCCATTAGAAATAAGATGGAATCACTAAAAATGCTTTTTCAGTATGTTTCAATATCAAAATTAGGTCCTAACCTTATCAATAACTTTTATGAGAGATTTAGTTTACAAAACAGGCTCCAAGACGTGAATCTAGGATCTGTTCCCTAACACTCCCATCCCCTGTTGCAGGAACCCTAGCTACTATATTTTCAAATTATTGCAAGGAGTCCATCTTATGTTTTCTGTAATTGGATGTTTTTGGTTGTATTATTATGAGGTTGAAATTGAAACTGTTAAAGATCTCAAGAAGAGGTGTAGTATGCAATTATGCATTGCTACTTTATGATTGGCTGTTAAACTGAAATGAAGGAATTGTTGAATGTTTTCCTTTGGATGCATCATACATAGGACATTTTTTTCCTGCATGTACTCACATTATTTTTCTATCACTGATCAGAACAATAAACAGCTGGTTATGAAGAAATAAAGTCTTGGGGTCCTATAAGGAGTTGTCATTTGTCCTTGGTATTAGTGTTCGGAGATATATATAAACGGCAGGGATGTTACCTGGGGATTCCTCACATCATTCAAAGTCTGATAGTGGGCTTTCTAGAAGTTCTCAGGAAAAGCAAGAGGAAGTAGGTTGTTGGTATTTTTCAAGAAAGAAATAGAAGAAAATTCCCCATCAAGAATGGATGGTATTGGCATACTTGCACAAGTCATACTGTACATTTTTGCAAGATTTGGGCATGAGGCTGAAAGTGTAAGTTCATGGTTTACATTCAGATACATTACTTTTCTTGTTGGATGCAACAAATGCCTGATTTGTGCTATTGAACATGAATATTGTGTTTCATTGGTAGCTGTTCTTACCATGGAGCGGCATTTGAAATGGAAATGGAAGTTAATGTGATTTTGTAGTGCTGGTGAATGCGGACAGGTGTGTCTATTTCCACCTGCGATCAATTTAGGTAAACTTTATAGCATGAAAAACAGAAGTAACTGTTAAGTTTTATTTTAGGCAGAAAGTTCTTAAATTGGGTTATTTAACATGGTTAAATCATAATGTTACAGATTCCTAACTGTTTTAGTGCTGGTATCTCTGTCAAATATACAATTTGAAATCACCTAGTCATAATTCTATAACAGAATGCCGGCAGGTGTCTTTTCCACCTGCGATCACTTTGGGTAAAATTTATAGCATGAAAAACAGAAGTAACTGTTAAGTTTTATTTTAGGCAGAAAGTTCTTAAATTTATTTATTTAACATGGTTAAATCATAATGTTACAGATTCCTAACTGTTTTAGTGCTGGTATTTCTGTTGAATATACAATTTGAAATCACCTAGTCATAATTCTATAACAGAATCAGTATGCTTTCAAAATGGCCAAGTATCTTCATTTCCCTGCCAATAGTGGTCATAGCTGCTATCACCAATACTTCTAGGAAACATCTTCTGGTTTGATAATGCCTTTTTCGTGAGCTTATCCTGGATCTCTGTTGCCTGCTATAGTGACAAAATATTGATAGATGTTTATTTGCAACTAGAATGATGCTGGAGATTATCTTGTGTTCGCACATTGGCACTCTTGCATATGTGTTTTGCTAGTCTGTCATTATGTAGTTATTTGCCTTCTTTTGATACTCATGTACTCTTATCTCTAGCAAAAGAAACTGCATATAAGTGTGTAAGCACATTGTGCGTAATTATCTATCATATATCATTCTTTACATGATTATGGCATTATATTATTGGTAAAGTGTTCTACATCAAACAAACAAGGGGTGTCAGTTGAGCAGTGCTTTTCTTTTGTGACTGCCTAGTCTATCAACAATTTGTCAAACCATGAAAGCATGTCATGTAATTCTTTTACTTTCTACAATCTTGTGGGTCAAAGGAGTTGTTTTGGCATTCTGTTGTCTGATCACAATAAGTTCCGGACTTCTGACATTATGGGTATTCATCTTAAGCGCCTTGATGGAATGAATTTGTCTAAATTTATTATCTGATACAGGCCCCAGGTAACAATAGCCACAGCAATAATCTTTTGTCACCGGTTCTTCATTCGACAATCACACTCGAAGAATGATAGAAGGGTGAGTTATCATTCTCGTTCTTTGGTGAATCTTGTTAAAACTCCTTTAGGTAAATCTTTGTAATATGGATAGAGTAGATTTCCTTTAGAAATCTAAGCTGGCTTTGGCCTTTGATTATGTTTCATTTTGAACTTTTATTCAGTTATCATTTGTTTTGTGTGACATATGATGATTGCATCCTGGAATGCTTGGGGGTGAAAACTGTGAAAAGTGTTATAATTCAAGCTTGTAAACATAGTTCCTTTGGTCAACTTAACCTATCATTGTATTTCTGATATAGACTTTTTGTTAAGAAAGATAGCATTGAGTCTTAATAATTTTTATATCACATTCTTAAATTCATTTCCATGCTTCACAGACCATTGCTACTGTGTGCATGTTCCTTGCTGGGAAAGTTGAAGAGACACCTCGTCCATTGAAGGATGTTATTGTTGTTTCCTATGAGATAATGAACAAAAAAGATCCTGCTGCAGCCCAGAGGATTAAAGAGAAGGTGTTCTTTAAATTTATGGTGCTTTCACCAGTTTATTTGCGTGCCACTTTCTGTTGCTCGAGTTGCCAATTGTCCTCCATGTCATGCCTCTTGCTCCCTGACTTGTGCAATTGTTTTCTTACTGCTCCCACTTGCCATTTCATTTGCTTAATCTTTCGAATTCATTTGGTCTCGTTTGTTTAGTTATATTTTCATCCATTTTGTTGTTCCTCAGATGTATACAACTGATCCTTTAGTTATGTTTTCCTTTTATAAAACCCATTAGCTAAATTTCCCATGCACAATTCTGTACTTTGTATGTGAACTTCATCTTTTTGATGTTAGTCGCAGACTCGCATGTAAAATGTCTAATCTGTTATCGTTCTGTGATATATTGCCAATGTGTGTAAATAACTGGCAGAGATATAACTTTCCATATTTTGGCCTCTTCTCTTTCCTTGTGTCGTAATTTATTCTTCTGTCTCTCTTTAACTCAAAATTCTTACATGGATTCTACAATTTTTCTCCAACAGCTGTGTTTTTGGTAAAACATCTCCCAACTTTTGTTTGCACAATTGTATCCGGAAGAGTGACTTTTTAACCATGATATACGCCACAGGAAGTGTACGAGCAACAAAAGGAGCTAATTTTACTTGGGGAGAGGGTTGTACTTGCAACTTTGGGTTTTGCCTCAATGTTCATCACCCATATAAGCCTCTTGTTGAGGCTATAAAGAAATTCAAAGTTGCACAGAATGCTCTTGCTCAAGTTGCATGGAATTTTGTTAATGATGGGTACATTTAACTGGTGTTTCTTCAAGTGTTTAAAATAATCTCTTCCTGGTGCTCACTTTTGACACACTGTAAAGCGGCTTGCAGGCTGAGGACATCGCTCTGCCTGCAATTTAAGCCCCCTCACATTGCGGCAGGTGCCATTTTCCTTGCTGCCAAGTTCCTCAAAGTGAAGCTCCCGTCAGATGGCGAGAAGGTGTGGTGGCAAGAATTTGATGTCACCCAACGCCAGTTAGAAGGTTGGTGTCCGCTCCATAACTTAGTAACAAAGATCTTGCCAATAGAATTGGTCAGTTATTAAATGTCCTCTTGGAACTGGTGTTGCTTGTGGTTGCTTCTCTTAAAATCAATCCAGTGTGTGATTATAGCTATATGTTTCATGTCTTTCCTTTGGTTTTGGTAGGCAGTCTGCTCATTGCCATGCTTTGTGAAATACCATGGATGCGGTTGTTATTGCTTAGCCGTCTTTTTCTGTCTTTTTTTCATGTTGTTGTAGTTGGATATTCTACTTAGTCGCTGGTTATCTTGCAGAGGTTAGCAATCAAATGCTGGAACTTTATGAGCAAAACAGAGTACCCCCGTCTCAAGGTAGTGAAGTAGAAGGAAGTGCTGGTAGTGACACATCTCATCGAGGTACTGCAAAACATCCTTCTGGAAGTGAGGACAAACAAGTTTCATCACGGTCAGGAGCCGACCACTCAATCTGCTGACAATCATGGGATACCATCAAAATCTGCAGAAAATCAAAGGAAGGATGATGGGAGTGGAGAGATGGGTAGTGTTATTACTGATCACGAGATAGATATGGAAACCAAGGATAATCAACATTCTGAGCAATTGCACCAGAAGGAGAACGCCAGGGAAGTCTCAAATAAATCGAAGTCTGGAATGGAGCGAACTGGGGGAGAAGACCAGGAAAGAACCGATGGAAGAAATGAAACTGCTGAAGCAGGTGAGTGGATAGATGATGGACCATCACGTAAGGCTGGCAGTTTGGTTGCGCGATACTTGGACACTAGGGAAGGGCCAGTGCCCAGTTGGCCAGTCTCCCAAAGAAGCTATTAAAATCGACAAGGATAAGGTGAAGGCTGCACTTGAGAAAAGAAGGAAGTCTCGTGGGGAAACAATGAAGAAAAAAGATGTCATGGATGAAGACGACCTCATTGAGAGAGAACTGGAGGATGACATCGAATTAGCTGTGGAAGACGAGAAAATCAAGAGAGAGCATCGACAGAGCTGGTCTAGGAATGAGAATCAAGACCATGTTAAGGATCATGGGGAGATGGGAGAAGGGAACAACTATGATACAAAGGGGCAATCATGTAGGGAATTTGAAACTGAGGGTGCTGAAGAAGGAGAAATGCTGGATGATGCTTCTCCGATGTTCAACAGCCGAAAGCGAAAGGCCGGAAGCCTACCTAACAGGTGGTTGGAAGGGAAGAAGCGCCATGAGTACATGTTACAATCATGACACTATCGAAGATGGACAAAAGACTGGTCGGGGCAGTTATGCAGGTAAAGAACATAAAAGGCATGAACACTAGAATCATTTGTGAAGCAGTAAAAAACTGGTATTTTACTGATATGACCATGCAAGATCCTAAGATCTTTAAATTGGATACTGATTTTTGCCATCGGTATTGATATTTTTGAACTTTGCATCCAAAAATGGTCAGAATGGTCCTTTGGAAACTTGAGACATTGGCAAAATGTAATTAGGATTAGCTCCATTTTGGTTGCCTACAATGGCAGATATGATATCTTGGCTGTAACGGAATGTTAGGAAAGAGGATGTTTCAGTTGCCATAATGGCAGGGGGCTTAATGAGAAGTAAAGTGGCGGTTAATGATTTAGTCTCATATATATGAGAAAAAAAGAGGCAAATTTCCTTAAAATTATAACTCTTTTAGGGTGCATGACCCGACCTGGGTTTGATTTTTAATGTGGAAGTTGCCCATGTTATTTTTAATGTTTTTCTGTAATAAACTTTGGGTTTGATTTTGATGCTTGACACCGCCGCCACCACCTCCCTTTTTCTCTACTGTAATTGCTGTATTAGAAATTATATCACGAGGGAAATTAAGCATAGGGTGACGAAAACGTAGCCTATATAATGATAATCATAATAAGTAAGCTAGCATGACCACACCTAAGCTAGCCTGCTCCATTACCATATCCATGTCGAAAACGGAGGTGCATCACCTCTGCCTGTGCCAAGGCCAATTGGATTTGTCTGGTGTCTATTTGCTTTTGTAGTGATGTTATGGCTCCAACGCACCTGTATACGGGGTCACGTATCTGAGCGTTAGCCTCATAGACAACGCTGCCTGCTTTATCATTTTTATTAATGAGTCTTTGTCAAGTAATTTAAGTAATTAGAAGCTGTACGATAATTGATTAATGAATAAAACCACAACCATCCTGTTGACGTCCCGAGCACCAAACACCTTGTGCACATTAGCAAACTTGTGGGGTTCATCAGGCAGGGAAATAAGGTCAAGGACATTGTACATTCGATCAAACATATCTTTTGAAAAAAGAATAATGGTTATGTGATAATATTAATAAAAAATTATATTTAAATACTTAAAAAGCTTGTATTTAACCGATATGGGATTTGCTTATTAGCATTACCCACACGTACAATTTCCTGATATACAATGTTTGAATGAAATAAATGAATGGAGGAAACAGATGGTCATGAAAAGGGAGTTCTAGTTATTGATCTATATATGGGGCTGTTTGTCACACTTCTGTAAACTGACAATTTCTTCTGTTGCATCTGCTGACTGAATGACAAAACTTTTGCTTCAACCCTTGCTGAGAACCCAATGTTAGTGGATCTCTGTGAGTTCCGTTGCTCTCTCTCCCACATTTCATTGTCTCTCGCGTCATATTTCTTCAAGCATTTCTCCATTTCTTGGATGATATGGTCATCCATTGGATAAAACGATCTTTGGATTGTGATGTGTACGAAGTAAGGTAGAAGAGAAACGACGCCGACAAGCATCGTGATTGTCCAGTATAAGGGTGCCGGTCCGATGACTCCGATGAGGACTTGAAATGCGTTTCCCGATAGATTCGGAGGCAATGCACCATAGACTAGCAAGAAAATGTACCATAAAAGGATGCTTCCCCATATGGAGAGATGTTGGATCCAAGTGAAATGGTGGGTGATTAGAGCGATTTGACAATTGACTGTCCAGATCACACAGGTGTACGTTATAGCTCCGAGGGAATCAATGTCGACGACGAATCCGTTTCTCTGTAATGCGGTCGGGGAGAGTATGTAGATGTTTGCGAGGAAGATGACTAGGGAAGTAACCACACCGTTTAGTATCCACCCGATAATGCGGCTCCAGCTGAAGTGTACGTTCCTCGGCCCTTGCTGATAAAGTGCTGGAAACTGTTTCGGAAGAACCAGATAAAAGCTTGTAAGAAAAAATCTGTTAATGTTTCCGAGATGAAAGCCGTCCATGTTCGTATTTAGTTAGCGTTTACCTGCAAGCATATGTCCGACGAAACATCCTGCTCTAGGACACCTAACGCGATGACGGGCAAAGATGTCAACATCACATTGAACATTGTCATATACCAGTCATTATACAAGGCTTCTCCGGAGAAACTTGTGTATAGTTCATAGTAGAACAGAGTGAGGCCAAATGCAACATTCTTGTAGACAAAGTAAAGAACCTAAAACAAGTCCACCAGGAAAGGAAGATATAATTAAGTCTTGAATGTATGTGTGTGCATATATATATATACACGCACATATAGAGAGAGAGTAAATATGTACCATCTTTGATATTCTCTGATAACACCAATGGCCATGAACTATAAGCAACCTCTCCAAGAATCGAAACTGCGGTAGCGAGAAGTCACTGGCCATGACTGCCTGTTAAGGGATCATCCATGAAAACAGAACCGTTTAGCTCGATCTACGACGAACTGTATCTTTTCATGTTTATATCTCATCATTATATGCATATATCATTTTATCTTACATTACCTGCATTCCTTCCATACCACTGATCCCAACTCCTATATCAGCTTCTTGAATCATACCGACATCGTTTGCCCCATCGCCAATCGCAAGAGTTGTTCTGCCAGTGTATTGCTTTACCAATCGAGTGATCTGTGATTTCCGGTTTAAATTCAGTTAAACTCATACCTGAAGTGATATTGAACAATCACAAAATCGACATACCAGAGCTTTCTGTTTCGGGGACACTCGACAACATATGACAGAAGCACAGTTGACGGCTAACTGTAAGAACTCATCCTTTACATTCCCTCGTAAAGCAATTTCGAGAGCTTTTCCGTCTATAATGAGACCATATGGGGCCTCATTGTTTCCTTCTTCACACAGCAATTTGTATGAACTTTGAATTTGTTGCAAAATGTCTTCCTCTATTGCCTGCAAAGCTAGAAAAAGAAGCCACTGTCATTACCGACTCGACTAAAACCGATAGTGATCAGAAACAAGAATACGACAATCAACATAGATAACTTCCTTTCCAAGTTAACTTTTACCTTTACTTCCTTATTCGACTCAGCTTCTCTGCTCAAACTCAAATGGAATTGCATCATATCCTGACGGAGTAAGCTACAAGCGAACCTGCAGAATCGGGAAATACAATAGCAGCAGGATAGTTGACAAATACAACCAAATATTTACATCAACACCGAAAGATATTGAATCGTGTTATAAGCCTCACCCGATATTCACCGCCGTCTCCCTCTTGTCACCGGTAAGCAGCCATATTTTCAACCCTGCTTGGGCGAGTTTATCGATGCATTCCGGAACCTGTTATGTTCATAAATGGAATGAGCAGTAAGACCTTTAGCATTTTCTATATGAAGGATCATATTCCATGTACATGCCTGAATATATATCGAACATAATTATAGAGGCTAGACTGCAACCCTCTAATGAAAGCAGTTTGAATTTTCGGTGATGTTAGATGCATTTTCCATGATCTCTGCTACTCGAAATAACAGGACAAAATGTAGAAATATCGAAAAACGAGGGAGATAACTGACTGACCCCTTTTTGTAACTTGTCTTCGACAGCTACAACACCAAGTAAGATCAAATCCTTTTCGATCATTTCGGATGCTTGCTCTAGTAATTCTTCTCTTTCAGGACCAATGGTGGCCTTGGCTTGTGTAAATATTTTGTTCCAATGTTCATACTCGGCTGCCTCAAGTTCCCTATAGGCGAATGCTAGCGTGCGAAGACCGTCTTCTGCATAACTCGAAAGATGCAACGCTGTTGCTTGCTCATATGTCCTTCCATTATCAGCTAGTCTATCGAAAATTATGCTGAAAATCAGAACCAATGGGAAACACATGAGATTAACAGATACCTTGGTTTCGATCGATTATCGTTTTAAGTAATCCAAAGAGCGAGGTATACCTGTCTGCACCTTTGCAAAGTAGAAAAAATCGACCATCTTCATTGCTAACTATAACAGACATTCTCTTACGTGAACTGCTGAATTCCAACAGATTTAGCAGCTTGTATTCCCTGAAGATGACCTTGATATCATATTTTTGGCATTAAATTTGGAGGAAACTTATGGAAACAAAGTAAATGTTGTAAAAATAACACAATATTACCTCTCAACCTCCTTCATAGAGGAAGGATCAAACTCCTTAAGAACCATCAATGATTGAGTTCTTCTAAAAAACTGGAAACCGAACTCCTGTGAGGCTATAAGGAAAGATACTTCTTCGGGTGATTCTGCTTCATAACTTAGCTTATCGGTTATACGATTATCGTCTTCGATTGGTATGCCTGTATGACACAAAGCCATGACTCTAAAGAACATTGTGATATCAGATAAGTTGGGTACATGTATCCAGTTCTTGTTCATAAGCCTGTCATCTCTGAAGTTGAAACCCTTGATAACAGGTTCCTCGGTCTTCAAAAGCCTTGCATTCCCATTTTGAGCACTAAAACCAGATACCGAGAACTCGAATAGCTCGAAGCTTCGGGTTCCTCTATTGGTCTCGTCCATGCTGAACTCGAAGGGCTCGAAATCGGCATTCATCCTCATTGATGCAGCAAGGTCAACATCAGTTATGTCACCCCCATAGGATATTCCTGCAATTGAGCATTTCCTAAACTCCATCTGATTACATGTCAAAGTCCCAGTTTTATCTGAGAGTATCATTTCTACTTGGCCAAGTTCTTCATTTAAATTCGAAGTCCGAGCTTGAACCGACTTGCATGTCACTTCATCATACAGTTCTATATCTTTATCTATAAGCATTTTTTGTAAAACTTTAACAACTTCAATGGAGACGTATAAAGAAATGGGGATTAAGTAGCCATACAATATGAGAGCCCGTATGAACTGTAAAACAGCTGATTTTACCGGCTTTGATGGATTGAAGAAGAGATCATCATCATCATCATCTTCCGAGCTCGAACCATCCGGCAATCGAAGGTACCACCAATCAACCATGTCATGTTTCAAGAACAGTGAAGATCCAATGGAGGAAACCAATGAAACCAAAACAAGCATCGAGAACAGAATGTAGATAATATGATCCATTTTCCGCTCTATTCGGCTACGTTTCGACGGCGACCTTGTCGAGTTCCGTACTGCTTTCGTATCGTGTCCGCTGAAGATCACTACCCCATAGATGTAATCAGTGTTCCTGAGCTTCGAATCACGTAAAAGCAATTGAGAAGGACTCAACGGATATGATTCTTTCTCGAACTCTAACGTTCCTACAAAGGTGTAAAGATTCGGATTCGGATCCTCACAACGAACTTTGGCCTTGAATTGACTGAATTCTTCATCCTCATTTAAGCAAAGACTGGCTTCCAAACATCTTTTGATCTTTAGATTCGTTTCTCCATCAAGATTCATGGTTTCCACATAACAAAGACCATCTTCATAGCTGGAAGACAGCAAAAGGATGTCACTAGGAAAGTATTCATCTTTGTTAACCTTTACAACATCTCCTACACGAAGATCTTTCCACGGCTTATCCACAAACACTCCATTATTTAGATGAGCCTTCACGGTCCGATTGTTTACATCCAAATCCTGCAACAGAGTTTCAAATAAATCAGTCAAATTGTACAAATATGGATCAAGAAGACAAGAACAGTTGTTTTTCAAGCCAAATTTTACCTGCAAGAATCTATGCCAGTCTTCGATGGCCTCTTTAATCATGCTGATTCCAACCACAAAGATTAAAGGAACGATCAAGCTAGCCCGAGAGAAAGGAGCCAAAGAGAAGAGTGAGAAAACAGCTGCCAATAGAAAATAGAAGTTGGCCACTCTTCTGAACTGCTCAAAAAGTGCCCTTGGAAGGAAAGTCAGAACGTTGTACTTGGTTGTGGATATATTGTTGTAGGGATACTTGTAAGGCTTCTTCTTGTGCAAGTAAGGCTCATTGCAGAAAACGACCCGAGAGAACCCCGGCTGACCGACTCGATCAGCCGGTCGTTCTTCGGATGTGGAGGGTCTCAAGCAAGCAAAAGAATACAGTTTGCTCCATCTTATCTTCCCTTTCCTTGTCCTGGATGTTGCAGCTGCCATCTTCAACAAGTTCACACAAGGCAAAAGCCTAGAGAAATCATATAGATGTTTGGGGTTCAATGAAGAAGCTACGAATTCCAGCCATTGACAACAAAGATGTTATTAGGTAAATGCAAGCGATATTAAGACAAATAAACAAAATTCCATTGAAGTTTTGTCTTTTCTTAACTTTCCCTCAGCTTATGTGTTTTTTTTAATGTTTTAATATATTCTGTGTTGTGTCATTGAAGTTCATGGGGAGGGACTTCCAATGCTAGAGCTTGGACTTTCCTAGATCTAGCAGGCCCTCATTTAGCCGCGTTTCACGGATGATTGGAAACATTTTCATCCCACTTACACCTAGAAATGAGCATTCAATCGAATTGAGTCGAGTAAAAGTTCAAATTAAATAAATTGAAAGTCTTATTTTATAACTCAAATTGTATTTAAATTTTATTCGAATCAAGTGTAATTTTTTAATGTCTAGTCGAGTTTTATTCACCTCGGTTCCACCCTTTTAGTACGCCAAAATATGATTATTATACAAATCAAACCCTGCATTGCTGCTCACTTCAAAATACTCAAGGCGAATGAACGATCAGAATTGCCTCTAGATTCGAGAAATGAATCTTCGGAAAGGTCTTTCTTTTAACCGAAAACAACGAGTCAACTTTTCATCAAGGGTATCTTAAAAGCAGCCCTACAAGAATTAGCTTAATTATTGTTCAAAGCACGAAAAGAACAACATTAATAATTACTATGGGGTTCATCTGCCTCTAGATTCGAGCTTCCAGATGCATACAATTATATCATTCCATGTGTTATTTATTATGTTTCCACAATGTCAACAAACCCTTTTTTTAATCTTCAAGATTAAAATAATTCCATAGAATCATTCATTTATTTTCATATCTTCTAGAAACTGTATTATATCGACAATGAACAAACCCCTTTTTCAAGCTTGACAAATGAACAATCAACAGAATCGCCTGGTGAATCGAGCCTTTGACTTGGACTGTGTAATGGTTTATGTTTAACTGATATCGATTACCAATGCAAGTTGCAACTAAAACTTCCATGGGAAAACATCGACTTATACAAAGCACAAAGCCTGGTGAGTAGTTATTTATTTCACAGATTCTTCTGGCCTGCTTGCATTGATAACTAAAAACAATGGACATTAGAATAGAGCAGTGCACAACAAGGTAAGGGGCCGGCTTCAATTGCCGTCTGCAATAAGAAATCATAGCTACGATGCTCATTCGATTTGCTGGATAGCATTGTTGGCATGCGGCACTTTGGAAACATCAAACACGACTTGTCTTTTGCTGAAAATATTGGGATACAATTTACAATGTATATGTTTAGTAACCTTACATAGGGAATTTGATGGTAAAATCCCACAAATAGTATGTTATTTTAGCTCCCCAGAATCTGATTTGCCATTGAAGGAAGGTACTTCATCCATGAATTTCCATAGGATAATGACCTTGAAACATTGTCGTTTCCGAATTCGGAGCAAACAATCTTGGGACCATCATATTGAATGATCATACTCTTTTCGGTGATGTCTACTGACGCTGCTGGTTCCTTCACCAACCATGGATTTGAAAGCTTCAGATATCTGTTGTAGAGTGCTAATGCTATTGCGGGATTTCTTTCACTGCTCCTGCATATATATATATATAAAGGAATATTGTCATCTTTAATGAAGATTATTATGTTACAGTCGTAAGGATTTTCATCGGAAATATTGAGAGGAAGGGAAAAACAAGTAACCTGTCACTTAAATCAAGAACTTTACTCCACCATAAGACAGTCTCCAAAAAGTCTTCCAATTTCTTTCCATCAATCAAAAGCAAACTTAAGTCAGGCATACATGCATCCTTCTCATATGGTGTCATGGATATCCATGGCTTTGAGGCCGATCTTTGAATAGCATCCAAAACATCCGAGTTAACGTAGCTGTTTAGCCTTGTAGAGCAGTCCTCAGCGGCTGCAACGCCATGGGCGGTTAAGACAATTCCAGTTAGTTCTTCTATTCTTCCCTGCAATGGAAACAAATAGTCTAAATATTGTATGAACACCAACAAATGTGATCCCAAGCAGGAAAAACAGCCCAATGTAACTTTCCATCAGGGGCAAGTTAAGCATTGAACAACTAAATATACTGGTGAAGACAACATAGAATCCAGTTCTTCTATTTGCATCAGAGAATGCATGCACTCCGAGATGAACTGAGGGGTGCTGGGTACAGTAACACCCCTAAAAAATGCCAATTCTCATACAATTTACGCTTTTTTTCTTTATATTTTCTGTTGATGATCTAATTTTACACCCTTGAAATTTTCTAATTTTAAACCACCAAAATTTCTAATAAACTTTCTAAATTCTCACAGGGCATAAAATTTTGTATCCATTCATCCCTACCTGCAATCATGTTTTATAATGTTTCAACTTCTAATGCCTTTGAACTATATTAGGAATTTAATAATTCTAGCAGATATAAATTACATAGGAAGAGGGAAACCAACCAACAGAATTAGATTGGGGGAAACATATATGAATTTTCTTAGGGACTGATGAACACTTGGTATAATGAAAGGTGTTATTTCCTCGAGATTGAGACTGTCATGTTCTACTCCAGAAGAAGCCCTCTTAATTGCTTCTTTCACTTCCTCTTGCCTACATATTTTGACAATTTTAAATCAAGACATGAACTCTGCAAGTATGTAATAATAATAGTAAGAACTAAGAAGAGAAAAAAAACATTATCTCACCCATGAAGTTCAATGTTTGAATGTGGAAATAGAACTTTCAGCTTATAAAATGAAACTCTGTCTTTGTCCCCTTGTGGTGTAAAGAAATGAAAGTGAAGCAAGTCCGGAGATCTGGCAACAAGATATTTAGATAAAATTATAATTTGCACCTTCAAAGTTGCTCTTATAATCATCTCAATGGCCAATTTGCAACCCAGAAAAGCCCAGAGCGTGGAAACAGAGCAAATTTGATTGAGTAAACCGATACCTTGAACTCGAAAGAGTTGAGTTCGTAAAGACAGCCAGCACTTTAAGGTCCAAACATTGCATCCACGAAACGATGTGTATCATGCCGTCATCTTCATCAACGCCGAGTTTGACGGCGGGAGGAGAAGAGACGTGGGAGCTAAAAGCGATCCAGTTTCTGAGAGGGTCGGAGGGGTCACGGAAATGAGTAGCCGGCAAGAATTGAAGGAGTCCGAGGAAGATGATGAGCCCGAAGGCGAGAAAGTGAAGAACGGGTCTGGGATTCGGGTCCGGATGGATGGGTCCTGGATTTTTGGGAGTGGAAGTGAGTTGAGTTGGTCTCCTGTTAGTTGCAGATGATCTCCACGACATGTACGAGGAAGACATTGACTTTTCTCTTTCCAGCTTTTCAATGTTCGGACTTGGAAATCCCCCAAACTCTGTATTTCTGCCTAGTCACCAGTCAGCCGACACCTGGAAATTTTTATCGTCGGCCGCCATTGCCTAATATTTAAAACATCATAGTTCAATTTTTTTAATTAATCATTTTATTCGATCTATTGAATGATTAATTCAGTTCGAGTATTACAGAAGCAAAGGCAACTCTCTCAACCTAATTTGCTCCATTCATAAACGTCAAATCTCTGATATTACTTAAGAGACCTAGTACATTATCCCACTATACCTTTGGTTCAAATCTAATCATATTCTTTAAATTCTTATTTAATTATTCAATTTCAAAATTACTTTTCTGTCATTTCATATCTAATTATTTAATGATTTTATCACATGTTGTCTTTTGAATTTTATAAAAAAAAATCTTAATTTTTATTTATAAATACTCTTAAAATCTTTCTTTCTTTTAATTTTAACTTTTTTTTTCATTCTATTTTATTTTATTGATATTAGAGTATCTTCCTTCAAATTAACGGTACAAAAATAAAGAAAGAATATACAAATAATATATAATGATTTCACAATGATCAGATAATAGGAATTATATGGAGTATCAAAATTGTTTTCATTTGAATTTCGGATTAAAGTTATGTGAGTTTTAAAGAGAGCTTAAAAAAATTTAAATGATAAAGTGGTGAGGACGATAATACTAATTTGTGAGTACGTAGAGTGGTTGAAGAGACTTTGAAGAATGACAATGTTAACGACAACGTGAAATACAGATGAAACTTTAATAATTTTTAAGTTGTTGAGGAAGATGATAAAATGGGTTTTTTTTAAATGAGGTGGGTTTCGTGGAAGCAAAAAATAGTCTACATCGATACGTTGTTTTTAATTTAACGTCCGAACAATTAATAACGAAGTAATTCAAAAAATAAGTGATCAACTTGAAATTTTTTAAAATTTAATCACCAGAACAGAAATATTGTCAAAATTGAGTGACAATGAAAGTATAATTTATCCTATTTTATTTGATAATATATTATAGATATGAGTTTAAATAAACATAACGTCTGATTATTTATTAATTTAATTATTCATGAATCGTTTGTATGATATTCATTTATTAAACTAAGTAACGAAAATGAAAAAAATTATTATATTCATTTAAATATAGAAATTATGTTAATTGTTTTGTAAAGATTAAATCATGATTAATAAAATTTAATAATCATTATAATAATTAATCGAATTATTTAAGTTAAACAATATAATTAACCGACCCACAACCGTAAGTACCCTTAACTAACCGTGAAAATTTTTGTTTTAAAATTATCACAAAAAAAATTATTTTATAATTATATTTATTTAAATATTATTTAAATGTGCTTAAATTATTTCACAATAAAACAAAATATGATTACGGGCTTTATGGAACCCTAAAAATTAATATTTTTATCCAAACTCATTCTACAAATAGCCAAGGTTATGGGCTTTGCATCGACCCCTAATTGACCCGATTCAAACTTCAAACGAGCCAAGGTTTTGTCTTGGTACTGATCGAACCAACCCTTCTTCCCCTGAACTTCCCTCGGAAATTATGTAAGTTTTTCCATTTATTTTTCTTTCCTTTTCCAGCTGAATCACCGAAGTGTATTCACAATTTTATGTTTTTTTTCTTCTTTTGATTGTTTCTACAGGTCTAGAGTATGTGTGAAAAATCTACCAAAGCATGTGGCCGAAGAGCGTTTAAGAGATTTCTTTTCTCAGAGAGGAGAAGTTACCGACGCCAAGCTAATGCGCACAACGTACCTATTAACTTCCTCTTTTTTCTAAATATATATATATTTTAAAGTTATAGTTCATTGTTTCTTAATGAATTTATATTTTAATCAGCGATGGAAAGAGCAGACAATTTGCATTTATCGGGTACCGTACGGAACAAGAAGCTGCGGAAGCTATCAAGTACTTTAACAAGTCTTACATTGATACTTCTAGAATCATATGCGAGGTCTGCCCCTTTTTTTAAGAGAAAATCGCCTCATTGACCAAAAATGCCTTATAATATACGATTTTAACCAACTTTTTTTTGATTTGCCAAAATGACCAACAAAATCGCAACGCGATATCAAAACCGCAACGCGATTTAGAAAAGCGCAACGTTGAAAAGAAGATCGCAACACGATCTTCCAAGAATCGCAATGCGATTCATAAAATCGCAACGCGATCTTCCAAGAATCGCAACGCGATTCAGAAAATCGCAACGCGATTCAGAAAATCGCAACGCGATCTTCCAAGAATCGCAACGCGATTCAGAAAATCGCAACGCGATCTTCCAAGAATCGCAACGCGATTCAGAAAATCGCAACGCGATTCCAAGAATCGCAACGCGATTCCAAGAATCGCAACGCGATTCAGAAAATCGCAACGCGATTCCAAGAATCGCAACGCGATTAAGAAAATCGCAACGCGATCTTCCAAGAATCGCAACGCGATTAAGAAAATGAGTAAATTCTTTCAAAAGTTGTTGCATTTGTTTCTTTCTTAAGAATTTTCTCTAAAAAGATAGTATCCGCGCGGACGTGTCGAAGACACGTATTACCACGACCACGACCACGACCACGACCACGACCACGACCACGACCACGACCACGACCACGACCACGACCACGACCACGACCACGACCACGACCACGACCACGACCACGACCACGACCCGACCCGACCCGAGACGGCGGCGGCGGCGGCGCGCGAGAGTCCCCCTTGTTCTCTTTCACTCAACAAGGAAATGGGAAATCCAAGCCTTAAATACACTTCCCAATAGTGTTTCCAATACTATGTGGGATTGAGCATTACTCAACACTTCAAAGAAAATATAGCAATTTTTGTAGTATTTTCCCACTTAATCCATATCTAAAAATATTAAAACATTTTATCAAGAGAATTAAAAGAGTTGTAGATATCTACATTTCAATTCAAACTTATACATATAGTTTTAATATGATAAAATGTTTTAATATTTTTAAATATGGATTAAGCGGGAAACATGCTACAAAAATTGCTATATTTTCTTTGAAGTGTTGAGTAATGCTCAATCCCACATAGTATTGGAAACACTATTGGGAAGTGTATTTAAGGCTTGGATTTCCCATTTCCTTGTTGAGTGAAAGAGAACAAGGGGGACTCTCGCGCGCCGCCGCCGCCGCCGTCTCGTCTCGGGTCGGGTCGTGGTCGTGGTCGTGGTCGTGGTCGTGGTCGTGGTCGTGGTCGTGGTCGTGGTCGTGGTCGTGGTCGTGGTCGTGGTCGTGGTCGTGGTCGTGGTCGTGGTCGTGGTCGTGGTCGTGGTCGTGGTCGTGGTCGTGGTCGTGGTCGTGGTCGTGGTCGTGGTCGTGGTCGTGGTCGTGGTCGTGGTCGTGGTCGTGGTCGTGGTCGTGGTCGTGGTCGTGGTCGTGGTCGTGGTCGTGGTCGTGGTCGTGGTCGTGGTCGTGGTCGTGGTCGTGGTCGTGGTCGTGGTCGTGGTCGTGGTCGTGGTCGTGGTCGTGGTCGTGGTCGTGGTCGTGGTCGTGGTCGTGGTCGTGGTCGTGGTCGTGGTCGTGGTAATACGTGTCTTCGACACGTCCGCGCGGATACTATCTTTTTAGAGAAAATTCTTAAGAAAGAAACAAATGCAATAACTTTTGAAAGAATTTACTCATTTTCTGAATCGCGTTGCGATTCTTGGAAGATCGCGTTGCGATTTTCTTAATCGCGTTGCGATTCTTGGAAGATCGCGTTGCGATTTTCTTAATCGCGTTGCGATTCTTGGAAGATCGCGTTGCGATTCTTGGAATCGCGTTGCGATTTTCTGAATCGCGTTGCGATTCTTGGAATCGCGTTGCGATTTTCTTAATCGCGTTGCGATTCTTGGAAGATCGCGTTGCGATTTTCTGAATCGCGTTGCGATTTTATGAATCGCGTTGCGATTTTATGAATCGCGTTGCGATTTTATGAATCGCATTGCGATTCTTGGAAGATCGCGTTGCGATCTTCTTTTCAACGTTGCGCTTTTCTAAATCGCGTTGCGATTTTGTTGGTCATTTTGGCAAATCAAAAAAAAGTTGGTTAAAATCGTATATTATAAGGCATTTTTGGTCACTGAGGCGATTTTCTCAAAAACTGGGAATTGTTTTCCATAATTAATTGATGTTGTTGTATGTAGCTATATAAAACAAAAGATGGTATAATTTTTGCAAATTGAGTTGATTCTGAAATGTATAAGAAGAAACTAATCTTATTTTGCTTTCTTTCAGATTGCGCGCAAAGTAGGGGACCCGAATACTCCTCGTCCATGGAGTCGGTATTCTACAAAGGAACAAGATAATTTGGCTGAAATTGGGAAAAACAAAGCTGGGACTAAAATTTCTGGGAAAAAGGATCTTGAAAACGGTGACAATGATGACCCACAACTTCAGGAGTTCCTTCAGCTTATACAGCCGAGGGTTAAGTAAAAAATGTGGGCAAATGACATTGTACTCGACACCCCGGTAAATCAGAATAGCAAAGCTACTGAGAAAAAAGGTGTAGCTGAGAAGGAAAGCAGAAAGACATCGGCTTCGGTAAATGTTGAATCAGATGAAACCGACATTGCATTGGATGAAAATGAAACCAAAGCTTCAGACAATGTTGCTCATAATGAGGTCATTTCGCATATGGATTATTTCAAGAGTAGAGTGAAGAAAGATTGGTCAGATTCAGAAAGTGATGACGGTGATCAAAATGGAAAACAAAATTCGAACTATGTTATCCAGGATCGGATTCAAGAAGGTTCATCCAAAGATCTTGATGGTGAAATCCTTGATCCAGGCAACCCATCTTCAGGTGGGAAAGATGATAGAGATGAAGTCCTTGAGAATGGTCGACTTTTTGTTCGTAACTTGCCATATACTGCAACGTATGTTTTTGTACACAGACTTTCTTGGTTTATCTTTTTTTAATTGTTATTAAGGGCATTTCTTAGTAATATATCCATCTCTTGATTATCATATGACAGTGAAGATGAGTTGACGGAACTCTTTAGCAAATT